AAGTCGTCAGAACACTTCTCAAAATAGTTTTCTGTAGATTTTGTGGCACACTCTTTCATATGGATGGATCAAGAAAAATTTTTGTCGCAATATAGCTCTTGGCTTGAAAATCTGATTTTCCAGAAGACCCGCTATTTGAAGGCTCGTATGCTCAAACCATTGGGATATTCAGAATCCGCATACTTGATTACCTACTTTCCACTAAGTTTTAGCTCAAAAGCGAGGGGACAGTTAGGGGCCTTCTCTCGTGAGTTCAAATCCGAATCAAAAAGATCATCTGGATGCACATCTTCTAATTCATTTTAAACGAAATCAAGTACTGTCTTGAACATCAACAACACATAGAACGTTGATTATTGCATTAATTTAACAAAGTGACATGGGTCTAAAGATTCACAGTTATAACATTGTTTTAGTTATTGATATCTCTTTATCAATGATTGGTTACGATTGAAAAAATCGAATAAATTCATTGAAAAATCGTTGGTCAACAACAGAACGTGGTATTATTTGAATAGTGAGTCAATTAGACCTGAATGATCGTTTAACATGTCTTGCATTCAATGCCAAAATCTACGAAGTAATGGATTATGAATCGGCAAATATGGCAAAATTCAAATTAGTACTGATTTTATCAAATTTAAAGCCTAGTTTTAATGATTCTAATCCTGGTACAGCATTGTACAATGCTATTGAAACAAGTTTTCAATTTTTATTGAGAAATAAATTGACTGGACTATTCACAGATGATTCGAATCGAAATCGGATTATTTTGAGTACAGATGGAGAAGATGTTAATTCGATAAAAAGTTCACTAATACAAGCATGTGAACAAACAAAACAAAACAAATTTGTCAAGATTGGAATACAGACATGTTAATGATTAGTATCGGACTTGAAGTGCAAGGAAGAAATGCTATGAATCATTTAAAAGAAAGTGATAGGAATAAATGCAAATTTGTAAATTTGACAAATTTATCAGAATTGAATGATATTTTTAATCGTCTATCCTTGGTGTTCAATCAACGAACAACTGTTATCAATGTTTAAATACAAAAAAAAACTAACTTTGACTATCACTTAATGTCCATCTGGATATAAAAGATCTCTTTTTATTTTTTTCATCATTCGTAGGAGACATTTTTTTTCAAGATGGAAAACATAACTTGTACGAATCTTGCTGAACAGAATGTAGAAAGCTGTCTAATTGGATTTAGGGTGCATCACCGTTGAATACACTTTTAAGAATTTTGAATAGATTTGCATCAAGCTTATACTAAGAGATATACGTCGTGTTCATCATTCACACAACTGAACTCTTTTCCCACATATTTCTATTCAATCGAATACGATTCAGCAATAATTCGAATTCTCTTCCTATGATGAACTGCTACAACGAATGAACAACATTTTACATCATTTTATTTCATTGTTCTATGCAATACAAATGACACATTTAGATCAGAAACAGAGTGAATGTTGATTACATTATAAGAAACACTTATTCGAATGAGGCGAGGAAGAAAAATATTCACAGAATGAAGATCAAATGAGAAAGAACATCTGTATTTCTATCGAAAAAATATCGTTCATATTCGATTCATGTATTCTTCCGAGAATCTATTGAGTATTAGTTACATGATTGAAGCATTCAATCAAGCAGAAACATGAGTGAAAAATTCGATTTTGATTATTGCCGATTGTGTTCAAATTTTAAATTCGTTGTGACCAAGATCATCTTTTGCATCGATTGATTAGATACACTTCTGCCGTTCTATGTTTATTGCAATAGAAAAGAAAATCTCCAATAGCAATGATGATTCGATCTATTTGAGTGAACTGATGTTGCATTCTGCAAAATCTTCTCACTTGTTCGAAGAAGTTTTCTTTCAAAAAACAAATTTCATCATTTGTTGATATATCTGTTGACATTTTCCAGTATCCGACAAACTCACGTTTGTCATGCGAAAGACAGCACAAATTATCTGAAATCGTTAGAGATGACCTACGATTATTTTGAAAATTTCCACGACAGCCAAGCGTTATGGATCGAGAGAAGTTTCCGAACTGATTTTTTCCTCCTTTGATGTTTCAATTACAATGATTTTTATGAACGGACATTCATCTAGCATGTTAAGTTTATGTAAAAAATAAAGAAAACGAAGGCATCAGATCAAATAAAAAAAAAAAAAAACTAACAATAAATTCAGAATAAAAGCAAAACAGTTAATATACTATTGATTGTTTTTTTTTCTTAAAATTTATCTATCATCACTTTTTCAACAGCTGTCGTTGAATTTTTTCTTAATTCTCTTATATATTTCCACCATAGTTGAATTAGATGACATGACATCAGTATCACAAGTGATAATATAATTAACCATGCCTAAAATTAAAGAAATATTATTTGTATAAAATAATGATGATGATGATGATAGGCATAATAAAAGACTTACTCTCCATGAGCGAGATACATCATCTGTTAATTTGACTAAACCATATTGAACGGTAACAATAGAACCAACTACAGTCCACATAACACCTGTTAATGTACCAATATATTCTGATGGAAAACTAAAATAGAAATAAATAAATATTTACAAGAATGAAAATATTTTTGAATTATTATAGAAGAAATATGTATTTTTTTATTTGACTTTGAATTCTTCACTTATTTATTAGATTCAATTCTCTTTTTTTTTTCGTTTGTTAGGAATCTCTAATATTGAGAATATTTTAAGTAAGATTTACAATGTTGCTACGACTGCTTGACTTCCACCAACAATTGTTGCTCGTGCAAAACAATTGATTATCAATGCTGGAATAATCATACTCTTTTGTGCAAACATACATACAATACATGATACAATATTTATAAGCCATGATATAGTTTGCATTAATGATATATTCAATAATTTTTGTTTCTTACCTAAATAAGAAAGAATTAAAATTAACATGAAAAAAGAATTAATATATTACTTTTATCAGCTTTAAATCCAAGTAGAAAACCATTTAATGGACAAATAAGAATAGCAGAAATAGTAGATAAATTAAATGCAAATGTATATTTATTAGCTAAAATAGACAAAAATAAAGAACATCAGATAAAATAATTATGAAATAAAGCAAAATATTAATTACTTACTTAATATTGTATCTTGTTTTGTAATATAATATACCCATGGATACCATGTGACAGCAAGAAAAATTCCTGGTAATAATAGAATACTAAGAAATAAAACAACTAATAAATATAATGGACTTGTTAAATAATGCCAAACACCTTGTCGTTTCAAAATTCGTATATACCATTTCATTTTATCTATTTCACTATTGTTCGATGATTGATCTTCGTCTAAATAGAATGAAAAAGAAATAATGTCTTTTTCTTTTTTTTTTGATTTATTTTACTAGTAATGATATTTGAATGAATATTTTTCTTTTCTAATTTTGTATCAAATTGATAAGGTAAATTTAAAATAGGAAATTTCCAATCAAGAAATATAAATGAACTAATTAACATTAATACACTAAATGATATCCATATATAAGAAAGTTGTTGCAATGTTATCTTTTTAGCATCAATTAAAATCTAGAGGGAGAAAAAACGAAATGAACATATAATTTGAAAAACAAAACTCCCTTTTCTTTTTCAAAAAAGACAATGTATTATAACATACTTGAAATATTGAATACCACATTGTAGCTGATGTACATGCTCCAGCAAATAAAGCTGAAACAAAAGCTCTTGATTTTGAAAAATAATCACTTGATGTATAAGCTGTTAATAAAACAATAATACCAGCCAAAGATGAAAAACTTGTATGAACATATAAAAATGAATCTCGTCCTTAAATTAAATGATATTTACAATATAGAATATTTATATGCACACATACTTACCAGGTGCGACTAATGCTAATGCTAACCATCCGATAATATGAAATATTCTGTTAAAAAAAAAAACAATAACAAAGCAGATTTTTAGAACTAAATGTAATATAGATGAGAGAAAAGTAATACTTACATTACAATTAATTTAACAAATCGACATCCAAATCTATCAATCAATAGACCAATAATCACTGATGGAATTTCAAATAAAATAATTCCTAATGTTAATGCATTCTAAAATAAATTATACACATATTTAAAAAATATTTTTGATTACTCTATTTTATCTCTACATACTTGATATTGTCTTGTTTGATGTGCTTCACAAGAAAATTCTTTAATTTCTATTTCTGTTCTATTTATTAATGATGATGATGATGAACAATTATTTTCATCACCATAAATTTCATATTGTGGTAAAATTTTAAATAAAGCTGGAAAACCAAATATTGTACCACCAATTAAATTGACTTCAATTAAAAGCCATATAACACCAAACCATTTACGAAACGAATGATGAACTTTTGTTTCTGTAGTCATTGTGGTAACAGTAATAGTCATACTGATTCAAAAAACAATAAATCTCAATTTGATTTAAAAAGAGTCAGCAGTGAAATTTATATGATGATATAACTGTGACTTTTCTTCGAATATTTAATCATCATTTTTATCTTTTATGACATCGTATGTTCAACTGTAATATTTGAATGTCATGACTTGATTATCAACTGTATTTGACTCATCAGTTCCTTTTTATTCAAAACAATAAAAAAAAAACGTTGGTGTATCGATAAATCTAAGAAAGAGAGAAAGAAAGAAATCCTTTCGACGACAACATTTTATAGCTATTTACTATTGACATATTTTGAAGTAGAATGTGGCGTATATTTCTAGATATTTTTAAAAAGATAATGATATTTATTTCTTTCGTTTTTTTCCCGTTCGACGAAAGTGGAAAGCTGCGATCATTACTCACCGCAACACCGATGATCCTATAAAAACTCTGATTGAAATAGAACGTTTCTTTATATTACGAAAAAAAAAGAAACAACCGGATACAAGTCACAAGCTACTACGATTGTCTTTTGTTAGAAATACAAGCAAAAATGGCTTTTAAACGAAAATTTAGTTTAAATATTGAACATATTCAACAAGAAGAAGGATTAGAAAATTCACGAACATCATCCATATTAAGTCCAAATGGAGCAAAACATTTTCGTCGACAATTAAGTGAACAAAATTTCGGTAAGTCGATCGTATAAACGATCATAGATTATAGGATATGTCGTTGATATTTCTAAGAAATCATCAATTCACTATGGTTATCTTCATTGAAGTTGTGATTAACCGACAGTTTTCATAGCAAAGATAAAAACAAAATACATGTCGCTTATTTCTAAAGTCAAATCAAAGAGTTTAGGAGAGAATTATTTAAAGACAACTGGAAAATTGATATTGATTTATTCACTTGTTGAAGAATATATTTATTTATTTATTTCAGACGAATCTCAATTGATGAATCGTTTTGATGATGAACAAAAACCCTTTTTATCTATTGATGGTATTGAAAAATTACCATATAAAATTGCTAATATCAATCTAGCTGAATTGGGTAGAAAAACATTGTCAATGGCTGAAGCTGAAATGCCAGGAGTAATGTTATTGAGAAAAATCTATACTCCTAAACAACCATTGAAAGGTGTTCGACTTGCTGGATGTTTACATTTAACAGCACAAACTGGAGTAATGATTGAAACATTTTGTCAATTGGGTGCACAAGTAAATTATTTTTTTCTTTCTTCAAATATTCTTAAAATATAATTATTCTCTACTAGGTTCAATGGAGTTCTTGTAATCCATTATCAACACAAGATCATGTAGCAGCTGCATTAGTCAAAACTGGTATACCTATTTATGCATGGAAAGGTGAAACTGAAGAAGAAAAATTATGGTGTATAGATCAGGTAAACAATGGAACGTTTTTTTCTCTCTACAAATTCATGAGGTAATGATTGATTATAAAACAGTTCAGCAGTTCGATATAAGCGACGATCAGTGTGTTTTTGATGCATAATTATCCATATATTCAATCGTTTCTTCTCTTCTAGACTATCTACTTTGCTGATGGTCAACCATTAAATGCTATTTTGGATGATGGTTGTAATTTGGCACGAATTATACATGAAAAATATCCACATTTAACAAGTCTGATACATGGTAGTAGTGAAGAAACAACAGCTGGTATAACAAAATTACGTAAATTATTCAAACATAAAAAATTAAAAGTTCCAGTTATTAATGTTAATGATAGTGTAACAAAATCAAAATTTGATAATAATTATGGATGTGGTGAAAGTCTTATTGATGGTATCAAACGTGCTACAGATGTTATGATTGGAGGAAAAATAGTAGTAGTTATTGGATATGGTAATGTAGGAAAAGGATGTGCAAAAGTATTAAGTGGTTATGGTGCACGAGTTATTGTTACTGAAATCGATCCAATTTGTGCTTTACAAGCTGTAATGGATGGTAAATAATATCTATCTATCCATCTCTTAGTTATAATTAACGATGAATAAATTGTTTTAGGTTATCAAGTAACAACAATGGCTGAAGCATGTAAAATTGGTCAAATATTTGTATCAGCTACTGGTTCAACAGGATTAATTCGTGGTGAACATATGATGGAAATGCGTGATATGGCTATTTTATGTAATATTGGTTCCGGACAAACTGAAATCGATGTTGTATGGTTAAAAGCTAATGCAGTCAAAATTGAACATATTAAACCACAAGTATATATATATATATATTATCTAATGACAAGTGATTTTAATTAATTTACTTGTTTTCTTTTATTATAGGTTGATATTTACCATTTACCAAGTGGTCGTGCTATTATTTTACCTGCTGATGGTCGTGTTGTTAATCTTTGTGAGGATTTTTTCTATAAATGAAATAGTTTTTGATATTTGTTAACTTTTAGCTTGTGCACATGGAAATCCAAGTTTTGTTATGAGCAATTCATTTTCAAATCAAATTTTGGCACAAATTCAATTATTTACAAATAAAGGACAATATCCAATTGGAATTCATACTCTTCCAAAAACCGTAAATGTTATTTCATTCACTTCGAAAAGGACTCTTTTGCCAAACATTTTTCTTGTTTTTTTTTGTTTAGTTGGACGAAGAAGTAGCTTTGGCACATTTAGATTATTTAGGTGTCAAATTAGAAAAACTAACAGAAACACAATCGGCATATCTAGATTTACATCCAAATGGACCATTCAAACCTGAATATTATCGTTATTAATCATTGGTTCATTAGCAAAACGAAATTATTTCAATAAATTCAAAGCTATATGAACGTTTTTAGTTTAATTAACTATATTTTATTGTACAGATACAATGGATAATAATAAATGATTTTTTCTTTTATCTCAATAATTATTCAATTTTGATAATAATTTCATGTTATTTTCTATTTTCTTATAGATTATTGTTAATAATATAATCTTCTCTTATCTAGCAGAACAATTTATAATGTTAATCAATATTATTATTATGAACATCTTGTAGAATATACAATTTACTACTTCGATACCATTAGAAAACACTCATAATGATCAATTTATTACATTCACTCCTATTGCAGTTAATCAATATCGAAAGAATTCAGGTAAATTTTTCAATTAAGTGAGGATCGATCATATATCATGATGGTTTTTGTGTTATCTTTAGTTCATACTATCATTACTGATGATCATATTAGTAAAATATTAGAAAAACTTGGTAAATATTTCTTTCTGTTTGGAGAATAATATTTACTCTTTGTGTTCGTCCTTTTCTAGGTTTATCTACAATTACTTTTACAACAAAATCATCACCTATATGATTCACAATGGAAACATCTTCTCATTTACAAATCAAACATCTTCGATTCCTCCATTTCAAACCATGCGTTTACCTATTAATCCTGATATTGTTGCACCAGATGGTTCATTAGTTCGTAATTTATTAACAACAATTGTTGGTAGTATGGCACAATTTGATCTTCCTCCTGGTATGACATCGAACTGTTTATGAAATATAGCATTTTCTATCGGGTCAAGATGAATTTTGGCGAAAACAAAATGAAAAAGAAGAAACTGTAACAGTTGATGCTAATGTATGTATTACCATACCGGTCGGTACACAATTTCAATTTCGTACAATTCGACACAAACCATTCGTAGCAGTAGCAATTACAATGCCACCATGGCCAGGACATAGTGAAGCTATGTTGAGACTAGGTATTTGGAATGCAAGTTTTATTGGGATTGAAAATTCATCAACCAAATTAACTAATTCAATCTATCGATTGTTTATTATTGTCATTTTCCTCATCATAAATATAATCTAAAGTCAAATACATAGATCTGCGTTTGTAATAAATTTTATATGAGATATTTTTTATTATTTGTAATTAAAAAAAATGCATGAACTATCAATGTCTAATTTTTACTTTTACTTAGTCATACTATGCCAATGAAAGTAGTAAAACAATGTGTAAATATTTTCTTTTAACTACTTCTTACTTAAAAAAAATATCTCATTGTCATATTCAAATTAATTTTGTTAAAAGTGTATTCTGTTTAATAATACAAAAAATTGAGAAATAATGATTCATTTGAGTCAAAATATTATTAGTGTATGCGATGAAATCGATATCGAACGGTGACATTTTAGAATTCAATAGATTGCTGAAAAATGAACAGAAAGACTTGACAAATTAATTTTGTACTTATTATTTTTCAGTTTATAACTGTTTTACTTAATAAGTGTCAACGATTAGAAATTGTTAAAACGAATCAGAAGAATATATCAGAAAAAACACTCAAAAAAGCAATAAAGAGAGAACAAAAAAGTATTCATACCAGCCAGCTGATGATATACGGTACCGATATATTATCAGAAAGAAAAAATGAGTAGCGCAAGATCATATACTATAATGTTAAAACTTCCATTCCTTCTTAATCAATTATTAAAATAAGCGATGTTTTTTGTGCTGTTAAATTCATATTCTCAAAATGTCTGAAGATCTCCTCTCTTCGAGTATTCGAAGTTTCGATGGATTTCGAGTGGTAGAGATGTGTCCGATGGGTTGACAATGAGTGTAGGCTGAGATAATTTGTCCGAGAACTCGATATTCGATGACTTCTGAGGTATTCGAAGTATGGACAGAAAAAGAAAAAAAAATTTTTTTCAAGTTTCGATCATTCGTTATACCCATGGTTATCTTTTTGAGATCTATTTGGGTTGTATCATTAAATATGCAAAAAATATAATTGAAAACCTAATAATGGAAATCGATTGAACAAAAGAATTATATGAAAACATTCATAGAAAAAAAATCAATTACAAACAAGATCTTAGAGTATCAAAAGTCTGAAAAAGTACTGCTGATTAATGTATGATGCATGCATATCTCTCTCACAGATTTATACAACGCAATAGAATAACAATAACTTTGATAAAAAATAATTGTTGATTTGAATAATATTGAAAATAGTCTGTTGATTTCCAAGATTAATCAAACGACGTTTATTATCGAATTCAAACATATAATAATCTTTACAATATATAAAACTAAAATGCTCGTGGCGAGTGAAAATCGTATTGAGAAATGTTAATTGATGGTCTCGAATCAGTTGCTTGTTTTTCATGTCTGTACGAAGATGTAAAATGCAAACAAGCAGATTCTCCATGTTTATCAATCCATTCTGTAACATATATCACTTGACGATATCGTGGTGGAATACAATCATGAGTGTTATTAGGAAAGTTAGTCAAGCGAGAATGACGAATATTTTTTGCAAGCTGTATATCGATATCAACACTTAGATAAGTTGTTATTGATACATTTTCGACGATGAATATCTTCAATGCTAATTTATCTGATGTTGTATAAAAGATAGCATCTTTTTCCTTAAAAAAAACAACAACTTATTGTTAAATCAATATGTTTTTAAGAAATATAAACAGACAGACCTGTTTTCTTCTGGAATTTTTTATAACAGCTGAAATGAGACAATCAGTAAGAAATGTTGCTGGTTTATTTTTCATAGTTAAATGAAGTTGAACACTTGAATGTATGACAAGAGTAAAATCTCTATTTTCTTTATCCTTGTGCCAGAAACTAATAGAGAAAGGTATAAGTACATAATGACCAGCTCGTAATGATCCTGTCCAATATGTGAAATCTCCACGTTTACATATGAATATACTCTCATATTTACCGATTGTATTAGTTGATGTTAATTTGTCAATATCGCACAAAACGAATGCTTGAGTATGAGAACTAAGTGTTTTTCGATCACGACGATGATGTACCAAACTTATATTGACGAATGATGTTCTAAAGATGTTATATAATTAAAATTAGCAAAAAATAAAACTGAACATAAAACTATATTTACTTTGGCACATGAAAATGATAAGTCGTTACATTTTCAGTAGATGATCGAGTAAATTTACATTGTTCCCGTATATCAAAAAGATCGCCATTATAAGTTGAAATAACTAATGATGAAAAATAATGAAGAAATCGAGGCCATGATATCCAAAAAGCACCTGTAGAACGACGCGCAGGATTTACTAAACGTAATTGCTTAAGAACACTTTCTGTTACTGATTCTTCTCGATAATTTGAATGAGAATGAGGATCACGAACAAGTACAAATCGAGATGATTTACTACCGAGTGCATGTACAGCAAGAATAGAAAATGCATGATTATTATGAATATGAACTCGAGCATATTCTTTTGAACTCACACCAGTTCCACCTGATGATACTCCAATCAATAATCTAAATCATAAACTCTTGTTTTCATTTTACAAAAGATTTTCTTCAACTTACTTTGATTCACAAGCTGATAAAAGTTTAGCCCAGACAATATCATCATTAAGTGTAGTATCCAATGATTTAAGATCAATATAATCACATGGTGCTCCAGTTAATAATTGAAGACCTTCACGTATATTTCCACTTTTTAGAGCAGCATAAGATCCGAATAGTTTTGCACATGCTTTTTCGATCAATGGAACATACAATTGACGACGTTTAGCTTGAGTGAAGACAAGATGATGATGTTTTGTGCATGGAAAGCAATCATCAACAATAATTGTTTTCCACAAACCATTATGACAAATACGTACCATATAAACACCTTCAATATTGACTGTTTGGGTGAGAAGAATGTGTTCAAGTAAACGAGGCCGTTCAGAAACCAAAGCTAAAGCAGCTACTAACCAACAATTGCCTAAAGCACCTTGTTGAATATCACTTGGTGTAGGAGATGAAAATACTGTCCATCGTAATTTACAATCATCATCAGATGATGGAGCAACATTTGATATTTGTAGCCATTTAGAAAATTGTGTGAATGAATCTGATCCGATAGATCGTGCTGAATGAGGAAATTGATCGTCGACAAAATGTATTTTATTCTAGGCACATAAATGATACACGAACATCAGAAACTGTCTAATTGAATATCTTCAATAATTAAATATGACTTAATAGTCTATGGTTTTTTTTGTCCTAGATGTAAAGGTTTTACAAAGATTTGAATAACTTCATATCTAATGATATTCTATATGTTAAATTGGAAACTTCAATTTTCTCGGTTCTCACTATAAAACGGGATATTCGAGGAATTTCATTACAATGTTCGACTTTTGGAATCAATAATAAAAGAAAAAGTTTACATTGGTCTGCTATTCTTTTCGATAAATACAAAGCGAATGTATTGATGCTATAAAATACCTTTCTACACGATTTTATTATTTTTTGAAATAAGATTTCAGCATCAGATTCATGCTTATGTCGACGATCACGAACAATTAATGACATAGATGTGTGAGATGCTTGTGCTTCGAAATTGATCAAAGCTGTTTGATTATCATCCTGAATGAAAGAAAACTATCATTTCTACTAAACTATTGTATAAATTAATGACTTACTGATGTAGACTTTGATTGGTTACATGCTTTCCACTGTTCATTTTTAGTTTTGTCATTTAGTATATATTGAGAACGAAGTATTTTTGATTTCGATTGGTTATTATCAGGAAGATTTTCTATCAATAATAGAACTATTTGTTGACACATTTCACAAAGAGGAACATCTTTCCTCTGGGAAGAACATGTCGGGCACCACAATTGATCGATGATGGAAGGTAACCATGAGTTATCGTCGATATCATTTAAAGCAGTAGCCATTGAATTAATCGACAATATTATCGTTTATGAAATCTGAAATTTCAGCATCTTCTTCAATATGCTGATCTTCAAAAACGTTTCAACAGTAAGAATGTGTGTTACATATACAACTATTTTAATAACAAATTATCTTAGTCTGTAAAATATTTCAAAAACAAAATATGTATCTGTCAAATAAATCTAACATATTATCATGTTTGAGAAGAAACACTATATACTGTTTTGATCTATAATGAATATTCAAGTGGAGAATGACAAGCTGTTCGATTGTGACAATTCAAAAAAATTAAAATATTCGAAAAGATAAGAAAGAATCAGTTTAATATATTATTGAAATACTTCATAATGAAACAAGATTTCAAAAAACAAGTTTCACTAACGTCAAATTCGTTTGTCTTCTTCATAGAATTTCTACTTTTTTTTTGATATTTCTTTCAATAAGAACAAGATTAACTAATGTAAAATAAGTACTTACGATTGTAATGTGTCGATACCTCGAAGATCGAGATGAACTTTATTTTCTACCTTTTTCGATATGGTTGACATTCTCTCCTGCCAAAAAAGTTCAAACATTAGTGCCCATATGAAATGCAGTTTATATTTTTGATTTGATCGTTTATGGTGATTTTTAGAAGTGGTTGATTCGAAATTTTCATGCAAAAAACTCTATCAAGAAATGGATTTCATCAAAAGAAAACGAAAAACGACGGGATATTCGTGAAATTGTTAATAAGATTGTGAAGAGATCAAAAGTAATCAACGAATCTGCTCACAAATGCATCGCATCTCTACCAGCACGACATAATCTGATTTTAATTTAATAATTATGGCCACTATAACTAAACAAAAAAGAATATGGCTAGGTTTTCCATTATTCATTGCTTGTGCTGAGAAAATTCGTTTTTCCGAAACTAGTACTGATATAGCGAAAAGTGACCCTTATTTTGAGATTCTTCGCATCAGGCAACGTGTTTTACGAGTAAATAACTATGATATTCGAAATCATTATTTTTCATCAAAATTGAACCTATGATAAAACCTGAACAAAATTCTTGGAGGAGAAGTACGGATTTGTTTTAGATGAAAAATACTTTACAAGAAAACGTATATTGTACTACACAAGTTTTTTTTAATACCAATTTCGAATATCGTAGTCATTTACTTGTAAAACACGTTTCTGATGCGAAGAACCTTGAAATAAGGGTCATTTTCACCATATGAACGTTGGTTTCGAAAAAAAGGATTTTCTCAGCACATGTATGAAATGATGGAACTAGAATAGATGTCTCCACATACGCAGTGGTGATTCCAAGAGGTTCAGCCTTCCTCTACAGACCTTTGATTCCTCATAGTGAGATTTTTGAAAGATGTATTTTTTCTTCAGAAACCTTGTTAGAGGGGCTCAAAGGTGCGTAGGGAGGGAGCTGAGTCCCTCTGTAATCTCAAATCCTGGCTTCGCTACTGTAAATAGGACTTGACGAGCTCTATCAAATCACGTCGAAAAAGTCGGAAAATAAATTCCATCTTGATCTTTGAATTGTCGACACATTACACATACTTAATAGAGTTACTAACTTGTAGAAATCCACCTGACGCAAACTATTATATGCACCATCACCGATAACGTGAAGAAAAAAAAGGTAAAAAAAAAAGTGAGGAAAAAGCTGTTTGTCTTTCTGTAAAGTTGAGTAATGGGTTTTTTCATTCTTCTGTTTATAAGGGGTCGTACGAATGCTGTTGGCAAACGAGAGAACCAATGCATCAATAGTGTGGAAATGACTCATCAACTTTTCAATCAAATTCATTGTCAAATATGTTTTTGTATATTGTTTGACTTTCTACTGAAATTGACGATTAAGATTCTCTTTGAAGTGTGAAAAACGCTACTCATCGCAAACAGTGTTTCATTTTAGTATTACACAACACTTTAGACAATCAATGTTCACAATGAGTCATTTGATTGTTTGCAAACTCAATATCCACATTCGAGACTCTCGATCATTTTTGAGAGTAGAAGCGGGAGGGGACGAAGTAGTAATATTTTTTAGCAGACACTCATTTCTATCGGAGTTTTTTCCGTTCATTCCATCGTAATTTCTTACGGACATCTACAAGAGAACACTTGCTTCAGTTTCTGACTTTAGAAAGTTTTTGGAATTTTTTCCTATACTTAAATCCTACTATGCGATCGAATAGTGATAGTTTTTTGACAACATACAAGGAACACGAGTCAATGTATTTGTTCATGTTATATCAAAGAAGAAAACACCTAACTCAAAAAATATATCCAGATAAAAATACAATTTTCAAATGACGTCTCCATCGAGTTTCGTTTCGCTGTTATATTCAGTAAACACACATATATGACGACGCTTAGTTTTTTTTTGAGAATTACTAATGAAATCTTCAATGATGAACTTGATAGCATCGTCTGTTAGATCAATTTTGAGAGCCGACAGTTTGATCAAAATTTCCAATATTGAGTTGCTTAAGCTCTATTTCGTAATCATGACTTTATTCTTTTTAACGTAGGAAATTTACATTCATATCTTGTATCAGTCAGAACATGGTTCACTTCCATGTTGTGTAATTGTTGTGATGAATGTGAGATCACCTACAATGGTGAGAAATACAAATACATCGTCTTTCAACCATTGATGGTCTAATAGAGATTTCTTTTAATAGCCATTTCTCTTGATGCAAATTCAGCACAGTAAATGCATAATAAACCCTATTGATTATCTGTATGGATTGTGCGGAGCTATCAATGGTCATTTAAAAACCATGTTGGACTTGGTTTAATTGATGGTAGATTATTATGTGGGTTTGATGCTATGTCTGGCGAATTAGCACGGTGTACCTGAACAAAAGTCATTTCATGAGCATTAATGAATCTTACGTCTTTAATTGATGTGATAACGTTATCTGATAGATTCGACGTTGATCATAATCACTTTGAGTATCATTATCACTTGCTATGTTTGAATTGGAGTTTAAGCAATTTCTCTTGAACATAATTTGTCCGATTTCAGTGAATATCAATTTACAATGAAATTGATAAATGAAGCAAGACATTCTAATTCAATCAAACCGCTTATTCGATTGTACACAAGTAATAAACCTAATCTGTATAATCCACTCAATAAACACTTAGTAAGTTCATTCACGGATGCTCATATCGGTCTGCACTTGTGCGATCGATTCGTCATGGAATTTTTCATGCGTTTTGATGAATTGAAACAGCGTGCATTCGTTGGTATAATTTATCGAGGTATTGTTCTATTAACCGTTGAATTTGACATGTATAAACGTGCAGCACAAAATGAATCAAAATGTGTACTTAGCCTCAAATCTTTCACATCCGCATCCAAACATCCATCGATTACTCTAAATTTCGCAACTAAAACTTCACCAATAGAAATTGCCATCGGAGATAATTCCTACTTTCTTCATGAACGTGAAGTACTTATTCTACCAGGAAGTTTATTCATCATCGATAGCGTTCGAGAAGACGTTAAGATGAATATAACAGAAATTCATCTGACATATTGGAAAGTACCTATTTCACTTTTTAAAAAGATCAAGCAGACATTTCGATGCGCTAGAAAAAACTTTTTGTCATGATTAAATAAATTAAAACAAGCTGACTTATCACTATTGGACTCTACGTACTCGAAATAATCAAAAATGATTTAACTTTTCTACCGTTTTTGTGAGTCCGACGAGATCCACAACACTGTTTTTCCTTCTTTTCTATTTAAAGATCTATCCTTTTCGGAATCATCTTTCCGCTAATCGTTAGTCTTCTAACGATACATAAGTGCCATATCAAATTTCATACAAAAGTCTTACCAGTCAGAAACTGAAATGTAGATCTGCATGGATCCTCTAGCACCTTTGGTGTTATACAGCTGTTTTTTTTATTCATATTACATTTGTCCTCTGTTGTCTTGACAGCTTATTTACCTGTAATTTGTTACTCCAACACTGTCAATAGTGAATCATGTGTTTTTTATCTTTGTCTGATGGATTTTCCTATATTTTGGTCGAGGTATTTCTGTCATCGGCTTTGGTCATGGTCACGACAATCATATTCGAGTTTTTTCCATTGAAAACAACTAGCCTAAAAACTTCAAAAGTTGTTCAAGCACAGAGCTTTTAATATAAGTGGCCATACTATAGTCATATACATTGTTCATTCGATAGCTTTTTAAAGCCGTAATTTTATCATAATCTCTTCTCAAAAACTTTGTTAAAAATGCAATCATTCTCATATATCACAATCATACACTAATGTATTTGCGCTTTGATAAAAATCATGATATAAGCTTTAATTCATCATATCTAGCGCAAAATAGACAAAACAAAATCAAATTCTCCTAAGTCATTTACATGTGGGTTCCATTGGATCTACAAAATACCGTCCGAGGATTAAAATTCATCATATAAAGTTATAAAAAGAATTTCGAAAAACTTTGTTTGCATACATTTTCAGCGCTGATTAGACCTGGTTTCTTTTTTGCATCGCTGTAGTTTTCTATGTTTAGTCATGATTCCAATAATGAAGTTTTCCGATGTTTTGTTTCGGTCTTGTTTGTGCCGAGTGAGCGTTTAAATTTTTTATTTTCATGTCTTCACAATTCATTTAGTTTATTTTCTTAACATTTTTGCTTCTCTTACAACATATTAGGAGATAAATGTGACTGTGAAGTGTGATTATTCAAGATACTGAATATTATATCTTAGAATGAACATCAGCAGCGTAAACACGCAATGCTGGGTGACATTACAATATGTTTATAGCTCGAATACGGGTGTTGTAGCGTGATGAACATTTCATTTGAACAATGATGGTAAAACTAATGGAAGAGGAATGAGAGTCTATCATCAAAGTAAGTTAATTAAATGCATCATCAATAATTATTCAAATCAAGGACGGATAAGATCGGACGATTGCAAGGCCACTTCATTATCTCTGGTAGTGACAGGAACCGGCAGCAAAGGAGTCGAATCAATATTGATTCGTTTAGGACCCACAAACCAATGACGAGCGGAGACAATCCAATAGATTGTAGCGATCAATGATACAATACCAATGATTACCACAGCATAGTTCATATTTTCCTCTGTCACTGGATAATTCAATGGGAAGAACATAATAATTGATGTAATAAAAAGCCAAACAGATGAGATAATAGCGATGGGTTGACCGAATCGACCTAGATTGAATTCACCAAGCACAAAATTGTGTCTGGCGACTGTACATCGAAGTAAAATAGGTATTAAATAGGAGATTTGATAGCCGAGTGTGGAAACAGCGATGATAGCACTGAAGGCAGTGGACGATACTAATTGAAGTAAAAGAAGTAAACTATTGATGACAAAAACAAAAAACACATTGGCTAGTGGAGTTTTAGTCGGTTCAAAGATCCAACGAAGATATGCCGAGAATGGGAACACACCGTCACGGGCCATGGCAAAACTGAAATAAACGATATGTCTGACATAAAAAAGAAAAAAAAAAGAACAGCCATCTACCCAATTCGACTGCTCGCAGTCACTGATGATAGACCAGCAAAGTATATATTGACTATGAGAAGAATTGTTAGTCCAAGTGCACATTGATGGGGTACAGCCAGTTGGTAGGCAGCAACGGCTAAATTGAGTGTGGTGCTCTCACCACTGTTATTGTCAACAAATGAGGCTACATCCGGAATTACAAAAAGTAGAGCGAGTAAGTAAGCAGCACCAACAACAGCACTGCATACACAAGTGCCCACGATTCCTTTGGGAGCTGTAAAAAAAAACCAGACGTTACAGAGTTCTACTGTTTGAACAAAATTTGATTGCAAGTTTTTCGAGTCAATAGTTTTCTCAGATTTTTACTCACCTGCACGACTAGCACCTCGAGTTTCTTCGGACAAATGAGCACCAGCTACAAAACTTGAAAATGATATAGAGTGTTCATCTTCAAAAATATTACCTTCATAACCGGAGAATGAAAAAAGTGCTGGAAGAATGCCAATAAAGCACACGTATATAAATGGAAACCCGGTACCATTGTACGTGGATGTAAAAACATCTTGAACAGTAGCTCGTTGTGGTGCCATGGCGAGGAGAACAACAACAATGCTAATAATCGAACCAATTTGAATGACAACAGCAATATTATTAAGCCAGCCTTGCTGATCGATGCGTAGCGCATTTTTTACAGCCCATACAAAAGTTATTCCGATACCAATGGCCGTTTGAGTACCTATATCCAACGAATGTTTGCCAGCGACAATAATAGCAGCGTTTAGAATCGTGGCAAAACCGGATGAAAATGCCACATCACCTTTCATATACAAAGTATGTCAAATGTTTTAAAAATTGTCCTCTTTCCTACCTGCAACATTACCGATGAAGTTAAACCAGCCACATATGAAGGAAGCCAATGGAGCATGCCGCGCGGTCATCAGCTGACCGGCCCTAGAAGAAAAACCTTGTTCGATTATTAAACAATTCGACAACAATTCTCACGACAGAGTATTCACAAGTATTAAACGCTGCTTGATTTCTTTATATGGCAACGACCATGTCTTTATTAGACTGTAACCAGTAAAAACAAATTTTGACACAATATGTATTCGTGAAGCAAACACTTATGACTATTTTACCGAATTGTACTATGACCTGAAATTTTGGTTATTGATATATTGGGATGTAGAAAAGTATTCAAATGATCTATTGCTGAAAAAACTTCTAAAAGCTGGGAGTATACTTTTACCTAACTGGAACCAGCACAATTCTACAATTGCTCACTGTGAGGTAAATGAAAAATACTGAAATAGGTCTGAACAAACTAGAATGGCGAACTTTCCTATGGAGGTTTTGAAGAACTGAAAACATAGGTTTGTTGAGGAATGTTTGCTTTACAGAGTATATGGAACAGGTTTTTTTTAAATATTAAAAAATGGAGAAGATGCAGAGCCTAGGATGTGCAGAGAACTAAAACTTCATACATTTACCTTATTGTAGTGCAGTCATATTTAACCAGACTATCTATTACTAAAAGAGTTCTCGTCCGATTTTAGACAATGTTTCACTAAAACACCTGTCCAACTATATATACAGTATGAAATAGAACAGCTACATAAAATGGAATGATGCTGTTCAAAAACTAATCAATGTAAACTTTTTCTCATAACACTTTTGATATTTATCTAATAGCTAAACAAATATGGAAATATATTCGAGCAAGCCTTCGGCTACAAATAATTGTGTTTACACTATCCTATGATTTTTCGAAAAAATCAGAAAAAATTAACAGTTCTTTTAAGCACATATTTTGACTTTGCAAACTTTGAATACTACAGAAATATAGAGCCTTTTATTCGATACAAAATGATTAATTATTTGTTCATTGTCCAACAAATTTTTAAGAATTATGAAAAAGATTTACATTTTCTAGATTTTGCACTCTTTCGGAAAACCTGATGTAGTGTTTTATTAGTTAGTATGTAGTAAGACAATTTTCAGAATAGCATTGTAAGAAAATGAATGACGAATCTTGTGGTAAGGAAATGATTTAATTCAATTTAAACAGTGAAAAAAATTATTAGATAATAGTGATTATAGCTATTTCAGCCATCCGTTATAAATTAAAAAGATTGTCCGGATTAATGTCATCGTTATAATAGACAGTTTTCAAAAAAGCATGTCGAAAATTGAATTTTACTCTTTTTAATGTTGTCGTAAACCAAATAGTAGTAGTATTTGCAACACGTTGAAAAGAATAAAAACAAATGGAATCTGTAAAAAAAAAAACTCATCCCATTTTTGCGACTACCTCTTACAAATACTAAGTCATAACTAATGACTCATTATACATGTATCTGCGAAAAATTTTGGAACCGAATCTAAGCTTTGTCTACAGGCAAAATTTCATTTCAAAATTTATTATTTTTATTCCTTCGAAATAATGTGTTGCTATGAGTTAAAAATGCACTAAAACGGTCATAACTTTTGACAAATAGGCCCCAGATATCATTCTTTTTCATGCTTGTCTTACTGTAATAAAGATTTAGTCATAGTTATAATATGACACCAGAAGGTATTTGATAGTTAGAGATGTTTTCTCATCAATTACATACCAGTGATAGACAGATCCGGCACTTGGATAGACGGAACATATTTCAGCCAATGAGAGACCAACGAGAATAGTAAAGATAGATCCAAGAAACCAAGCCCAAATTGCAACACCTGATCCACCTGTGTTCAGTGAATAGGTAAAACCAATTGAAATACATACTAACACATTCACAGCAGTAAAACAGAAGGCAAATGACATGAACGGTGAAAAACCACGATAAAGTTCTTGTTTATAACCCATTTCTTGTAGAACGCGTACGTCGGCATCTTCCTTTTCTTTAACATTATTTGTTTCGATAGTCATGATCGTGATGAATGATCGAATAGGGAAAGATAGAATATCTCTTGATATCTGAAATTTGATGTTTCATATGGCTTTTTCCTTACATAAGAAATCATTTTTTCAGGTGAAAGAATATTGACTGTGAGCGACTATCGTTTATGATAACTGTATATTGTCATCGTGTACTACAACTATCACAAATCGTTGTGTATAGTGACCACAAATTTACTGTTGCGGCAAATGATGTTCATGCAAAATTGATAGTGTTCGTATATAGTAACTATATAAGATTACTATAGATGGATGCTACTTTCTGAAGTGACCTAGTCTGCATGGTTGATTACAGTTGTAACTTTTCTCGTGAATCAGGTAGGCATGTTGAATCAATCGAATTAGTTTGTTAACTAAGATAGTCCGTTATTGATTCTATCACATCGTGTATGATGAACTGCAGTACAATATCAAAATATGAAAGTATAACAAGTTTTAGTATACTCAAATAGAGAGTCATCCATATCTCTAATAGTAGACTTTTCCATTGTTCAACACAAGGAAAAAAAAGATGAATACTCTTTTAAGGAGAAACTCCTCTTTTTGATTATATCTTATTCTCAGTCAAAATACAACCGATTGAGATGCACTTTTTACTACAGCTATGAAACAAAAATAACATGATCGAACTCCAGTTCGAGAAAAAAGTATTATGAAGGAATTTTCAAAAGTTTTTGAAGAAATTTTCCGGTTTGTAGATCTTCATTGAATTTCATTGGATCAGGTGAAAAATTTTACCATAGATACTTCTCAAAGAGCAGTCAAATGCCTGTTACAGAATTTTCAATTCCATCAGATGAAATTCGATAAGATTTGTAATGAAGCAGAGTTGGACAAGTCAAGTCAAGTCGTCTTTCTGAATTCTCCCCTATTGGCTAATAGAATTCTGATAAAAATGAAGGCAAAACATGAAATTTGCAGCACTGGTCAGATAAGTGATAGTTCGTATAGCTTTAGAAATTCTGTTTTCTACAAGAAAATGCATAAAACAAACGAAAATCTCTTAATATAGACATTACTTGACTTTTCCAGCTCTGTAGTGAAATCTTATAGAACGAACGATTTTCTCAAAAACTCTTGGACATTCGTTATGAATAATTTCTCCTAAAAAACGAGCCCAATCGTTTTTTTATGTTCGAGCTATGGTGAAATTTCAACTCAATCAATTGTATCTTAGCTAAGAATTAGAAATGATGAAAACAGGAAGATCATCCCTTATGTGCAGCCCATATTGAGATCATACGTTCTTTATCCAAGTTTTTAATAGGTTGTTTATCATTGATATTTTCTTCACAAGATGAACTAATTAGACTCGGTAATAGTAAACTACCAATTGAAGATCGCACACTTCCTTTACTTCTTACACAGGTGAATCAAGTCAAATAAACAAATTTTTTTCTTACTTAATCGGATTTGTCAAACATCAAAGCGAGAATAAATACTATATTTACTTTCATTTTTTTTTTGCAAAAATAATAGTAAAATCGTTGTATTGAAGTAACAAATTGCATTTACTTTGTACATTGGTAAATAAACTGAAGTCAAAAAAAAGTTATATCACGAATGAATGGTAAATGCCATATTTACTTATAAATAAAGTAAAAGTAAAATACCACGCCTCCTGAGAAGAACGAGCAGATATTATTTCAAAGCTATTTGAATATAAAATGATCTCAGACATCAGTCTTCCAAATAAATATTTCTAAGATATATTCCTAGTCACAAAAATAATAATTGACATAAAAAAGGATAACACTGAAATCAATATTATATCGAGGATTAACGTGAAAATGTACCCTAAGAAGAAATTTTTTATTACAGAAAATTGATTTCCTACGTTTTTTTTCGCAGATTGATATTGGCATATTTTGATAAAAACTTCCAGCAAGCTTTTCTCAATCGAATTCCATTGATCAAAGACAATAATATTTGTATGAGTTCCAGTATTCAGAACACTGAAAAAAAAGATGTAATACAGAACTTAAAGAGGATTTCTAATCCGTTACAATTCTCGAAACACATTTTGTCCAGTGTATGGGGATAAATTTCTATTGTGCAGGATACCTTGCGAATCATATGATGGTCTCAGAAGTGGCACCAAAGTTGGCGAGATTTCCACAGTGGCTCATTGGTGCTTTCGTCGTTCGATTACGGAAAATTCTACAAGCTTGAAAGTCTCACAGCTTAATAGAAGACAGTCAGAGTTATCTGACACACTCGTTAAGGCTAAAATATTGTCTTGTCCTCGTACAGATACCTAGGTTCAATCGCACAGAATATACGCGTCTGCGTGTATGGTCGTGCGGAATTTTTTTGTTTTCTAGAAGTTATGGGGAAATTTTTGAGCAGTAATTGGTCAACTGTCCAAGAGAACGATTTTTTATAAGGTTGTTGAAACAAATCACTTGATTGTAAACTACACATAGCTATCAAACAACAATTCTTTCGCTCTATTTCTTCCCATTATATCGATGATCACTTATTCTCTCATTTAGTTAGATGCTGTTGATCACAAACTTATATTCTCTTCTCTGTCGTTCTCTTTTCTTGGTTCCTCCTCCTCCTCAAAGTGAGATATTATACTGATGATAATGTGACGGTGAACCATAACGTAAAGATAGACCAACATTAGTTTATACAGTCTAAATCACATAGTAACTTCTGTTCATCTCCTAGACAATCAGAAATTAGTCGAAGTCAAGCGATTCTGACTAGTCTAGACTATTATATGTGTTCGTCAAGACTAGGCCTTTTGTTTTTGAGAGTGCACCGTCAACCTAGTCCAGAATAGTTTAAATACTGCAAACAATCTGTTTTGTTTCGACTAACGAGTGAACCTTTTCTGGTGTTTCCCTTTAATTTCAATGATTTTTTGGCTATAGATACTGTTCAATGCTCTAGTAAAAATCGTTAAAGGATATGTATGTTTAGCGTTTCATAGATGATTTTGAGTTGTCATTCTAGAGAGCAAGAAAAATAAGTCAAAACGAACTTTATCAATGGTTCTGTATTGATGTACATAAAGCAAATTTTCAAAACTAGTTAGTTTATAAGTCAACGGTTACAAAATTTCGAATCTGGTGTTTTGATACCCAAATGGCTGCAATTGTGTGTTTTACTTATAGAGCACGAATTTCAACATTAAAACTGACTAGTTTTGAAAACTTGCTTTATGTACTTCAATTCAAAATCATTCATAAAGTTCGTTTTGACTTATTTTTGGTTATTCTCTAAGATGACAATTCAAAATTATCAATGAAAACGCTAAACATATATTTTTTAACTTCAAAACAGGTAAAACCATTTCCATGATGCCAACAATAATGTTTAACAGTAGTATTTGCTTACCTTACCGTATGAAAAAAAATCTTGAATAAACTTCTACCAATAACCAAAACATCATTCCATTTGATTGAACCGATGCGGAGATATTTCATTTTTATCATAGTGCTATTTATTGCCCACATTGTATGTTATGCACTATAGAGACAAAATTAAAATGTTCATAACTTTTGAAGAAAGTGATAGAAATCCAAATCCTTTAAGGATTTTTACTAGAGCAATGAATAGTATTTATAGCCAAAAAAATATCATCGAAATCATAGGGAAGAGCCACCTGAAAAGGTTCCCTCTTAAGCTGTTCTTCTAATTCGTCAGACTGATTAGTAACGGAAAGACACCGGAGTAGAATGTAATGTAAATCATTTTTTTCGATATTTGTATTATTTCCTTCGAATAACTGATGTATTGATTTCTTTTCTAACTTGAGTGGGAATCAGAAGAGTCCTTCAAAATCAATACTGAAGTCAAGAATAGGCAACATATTTTGTACATTCGTATTCTGATATGTTTCATCATATTTTGCATCTTCATATGTAAAAAAAAATGGAAACATATATCGAAGCATTAAAAAACATGAGAAAGTAAAACACACAATATTTATTTCTTAGCAAAAAGTGTAAATGTATGTATTTTAAAATTTATTACATGTGTAAATCAAATGAAAAATTTTTAATTTAAGAATAATTTAAATATTTTTGCATTATTATTATATTTTATTTTATTTAAAATATGAATTCTAATGATATAAATTTGAGGATACATTTAAATAGCACAAATTTAATGTAGCTGTATATTTAAAATGAGCATTTGAAATTTCAAATTAAATTAAATCATGATATCAAAAGTATTTGATATCTTTTCAGTTTAAATAATTTTTAATTTATTTTTGTACTTAAAAATATTTTTCAGCCTTGTTATAATTACTTCTAATTGATTATAATCAGAAGACAGTCCTCAAAAACAAAATAAAAAGTTTTTGAATTTATTTTGTTCAGTGTTGTCTAAATAATTTTGTATTTTTGTGAAAAAAGTAATACTATATCAAAATCGCATCTTAGGATGATTATGAACATCTAGAAGTTAATCTCTTAATCATATAGCTCAATGGTCTGAACAATGAGTAAGTGATATATCGTATGTATGTTCGAATCTAACCGTCATCTTTATATTTTTGAATTTAGACTAGTCAGAACTCGACCACTACATAAGGCCACAACTCGTCGCGTACAGAGTCATGAATACTCTCACTTCTTTTATTTAAAATCTTTTTTTATTTGATGGGCGTCAGGACGGTACAACGTGCCTAGTCTTTTTCTCGAAAAGAATAGACATAACAGACAGAATGACCTCCATGACTTAAGCAGTCAGAACGTGAGCTATGGACTACAATTGATTGCAGACTAGTCATGTACTAGGACTTTTTGAGAAAAAGACTAGACGGGACGTACCGGCACGACTAGAAATACGACTAGCCCTTTTACCCATCCTTTGCGCATCTGAGCTGTGTCATTATCACCATCCAGAGCTTAGTTAACATCTGAACCTACGGAAAATGTTTCGACATTTTATTCGAAAAAATTAAAACGTCACAAGAATTCATGTCTAGCAAGGGTTTGAATTTAAACAAT